AGCATCACGTGACGTCACTTCAGAGTATTTTTAATTGTTGGCGTCCCCCCTTATGCGTGTAAGATTGTTCGCATATATATGTGTGTTGTCATGAGATGTCTTCTCCGGATTCTATTCAACATTCGCGTTGTTTTCTAGTGAGCTCTTTTGGTGCGAATGAATGTTATCCAATATCTTGTATCTGCTACTATGATATCTATTGATCAGTTGACTTGTTTTCCCCCAAAATCAGAAAAATCCTTGAAGATTTTAGCATCACGTGGCGTCACTTCGAGTATTTTTAATTGTTGGCGCCCCCCTTATGCGTGTAAGATTGACATATATATATGTGTTGTCATGAGACTTCCCCGATGTCTGAGCTCCTTTTTGATCTGCTACTATGATATCTATTGATCGAGTTGACTTGCCTTCCATCCTTGTTATGTCCTTCCCACTGCTTCCAAGCTTGTTACTGATTATTACATTCTGTCAGTACAAAAGTTCCGCCGCACACGACTTTATCAACCTTGTTTTCCATTGTTAATGTTGAAGTTGGGCGCTACAAAAATTAACCTTTCACCGCGGCGGAATTCGGTGGATAGAAGCCTGGAATTTCGTGGCTGATCAGTCATAGCTGAAGGCATGCAGCAGTAGACCTTGTCGAGATTGAGCAATTTCGTGGCCGAAAGTATACTTTTCACCACGAAGATAATTCACGGCAAAAGGCGTGAAATAGATGCTCAACTTAAAGAGCCAACCTTTTGTGACGAAAATTTCGTGAGTTGTACTAAAAGCATGCATAAAAAACAAACGTGGCTAATCATAATAGGCATAGGCAAAATTCATGATCGACGCGTCAAATTCCATAGAGGTTGAATTATCTAATTTCACAAAACAAGGCAATAACATGCATAACTAATACTTTTAGCCATGAAATTTAAACATTGGATATAATTTCTTGGCAACAGGCACATTTCTTTTTTAAAAAAAAAGTCTGATATTTTTTTTGCCATGAAAAAAAATCGACAGACATCGGGCCACAAAACTTTTCGTGGCAAAAAGTTCATGTTAGTTTACTTGCAATTTTTCCACCATAAAAATTTAATTAAATTCATTTGTACATAAAAAATTTTTTGCCTGTTTAAAAGGATAAATTTAAAATCTTTGCAAATTTTAATTTTATATTATAGGTCCCATTTGCAAATCTGAGTATTGTTAATTTTTTTTTTTTTGCAGTTGTTTATGCATACCATAAATTAACCCCAATAAGCAAATATAAAGTTAAAACATTAGATTCATAATTTAGTGATATATGACATAGTGGTCCGACCCGTGATACCTTGCCTCCGGTCTCTAGTGTCGAACACGAAATCGTTTTTTTGCGTATCTCTAGCATCTTCTCTTGGTTAAACAATCAAAGTTTTAGGAAAAATTAAAACATTAAATGCTGCATTAAGAGAATTGATCGAGGATATTACACTTCTGCAATTCTGCCTTCCTCGCTCATCCACCCACTCCCCATTACTTTTCTCCTAAATCTGGCTTATTCTGCTACTGTTTTTCTGATTGAATTTTTCATGATTTACTATTTTCACCATAGTTTGCATTATTTCCCAATCATAAAAGCATGAAAGAAGAAAATATGTTGAAAAATCGAAACAGAAGCTATAGCAAATTAAACAGAAATGCAAAAGTAGTAGTGTAAGCAAGCACATGTTAAGAGCTATGCAGAAAAGAAAAGAATATTAACGTTTGTGAAAGTATACATCAAAGGAGGAGGAAGAAGACGATTAATGCGGCATGTGTTATCTGCTTATGGCACAGAAAACACACAAGCCTCGATTTGCTCCCTCTCCCTCTCTATTCTCTCTCTTATCTCTCAGTTTCTCTCTCCTCTGTTTCTCAATGAAAATGGCCGAACGGGGGGGGGGGGGGTGCTTCCGGGGATTGCCGGTCGGTTTGCTGGAGACGGCGAGGCTGACTGGGACCTCAAGACACCCCCAGGCTCCTCTCTCTTCTCTGTTTTTCTCTGGTTCTCTCACTCACCACCTCTCTGTTCTTTTTTTTCTCAAAACCGAACCCAGCCAACCCCCCTTCTCTCTCTCTCTCGCTGGCCTCTGTATATCCGACGATGATGACTCCACCCTCTGCTCCCTTCAATGCTCTGCACGGGCCATGAATTTCGTGGCAATTTTGCGTGGTGGAGCGGATAATCCGCGCTTCTGCAGTGGGGGCCGGGACAGACCAGAACAGAGGAGCAGGGGGGAGGCTGAATCGGGGGAGGTGGAAGAGAAAGGAGGCTGGGCCGGGTCGGGCCCAGCTCACGCGGGAAGAGGAAAAGAAAAGAGAAGGTGGGCTGGGCCCATGCAGGGAAGAAAAGGAAAAAAGAAAAGGGCCGGGTCGACCCGGCCTCGACCCGGCCCAACTAGAGATTTTGTTTTAATTAATTTTTTTTTAAAAAAAAACATTCTAATAGACCTTATTAATATAAAATGTGCCTAATTTCTATATGCAATGCATTTAAATAGAAATATTTGTTTTGTTTTAGGAATTAATGAAAATTAACTCCTAAATTTTGTGCAATTAATTTTGGGCAAATTAAAAATAGGTGTCAACACATCCTTGTTATGTCCTTCCCACTGCATCCAAGCTTGTTACTGATTATTACATTCTGTCAGTACAAAAAGTGTCCTCTGCACACGACTTTATCAACCTTGTTTTCCATTGTTAATGTTGAGTGGGCGCTACAAAAAAATTAACCTTTCACCGCGGCGGAATTCGGTGGATGGAAGCCTGGAATTTCGTGGCTGATCAGTCGTAGTTGAAGGCATGCAGCAGTAGACCTTGTCGAGATCGAGCAATTTCGTAGCCGAAAGTACTCTTTTCCCCACGAAGATAATTCACGGCAAAAGGCGTGAAATAGATGCTCAACCTAAAGAGCCAACCTTTTGTGACGAAAATTTCGTGAGTTGTCGTAGCTTTGGCAGCACAAAATCTCGTGGCTAATCATATTAGGCAAGGAAAAATTCATGATCGAAGCGTCAAATTCCATAGAGGTTGAATTATCTTTGCTCACAAAATATTTCGTGGCAACAACGTCGTGGGAAAAACCTATACTTTTAGCCATGAAATTTTCGTAGGTGAAATTTCTTGGCAACACCACATTCCTTATTAAAAGTCTATATACTTTTTGCCATGAAACAAATCGACACATCGGGCCACTAAACTTTTCGTGGCTAAAAGTTCATGTGAGTTTACTTGCAACTTTTCCACCATGAAAATTTCGTTGCTAAATTCATTTGTACATAAAAAAATTTTTTTGCCTGGTTAAAAGGGTGCAAATTCGCTCGTTGCTAAAAGTCCTTTGCAAATTTTGATTTTATATTATAGGTCCCATTTGCAAATCTGAGTATTGTTAATTTTTTTTTTTTTGCAGTTGTTTATGCATATCATAAATTAACCCCAATAAGCAAATATAAAGTTGAAACATTAGATTCATAATTTAGTGATATATGACATAGTGGTCCGACCCGTGATACCTTGCCTCCGGTCTCTAGTGTCGAACACGAAATCGTTGTTGTGCGTATCTCTAGCATCTTCTCTTGGTTAAACAATCAAAGTTTTAGGAAAAATTAAAACATTAAATGCTGCATTAAGAGAATTGATCGAGGATATTACACTTCTGCAATTGTGCCTTCCTCGCTCATCCACCCACTCCCCATTACTTTTCTCCTAAATCTGGCTTCTTCTGCTACTGTTTTTCTGATTGAATTTTTCATGATTTACTATTTTCACCATAGTTTGCATTATTTCCCAATCATAAAAGCATGAAAGAAGAAAATATGTTGAAAAATCGAAACAGAAGCTATAGCAAATTAAACAGAAATGCAAAAGTGGTAGTGTAAGCAAGCACATGTTAAGAGCTATGCAGAAAAGAAAAGGTTATTAACGTTTGTGAAAGTATATATCAAAGGAGGAGGAAGAAGACGATTAATGATGCATGTGTTATCTGCTTATGGCACAGAAAACGCGCATCTCTATCCCAATCTTAGCTTGATTCAATCATTTTAGCTAAGTTTCAATTAATTGTTTTGACGAAGCTTACTCTAGATCCTTTTAGCATTTAAAGATGTTTAAATATAGACTCTATCTATTGTTAACATTCGAAAATAACATGAAAGAGTAAAGGATGACATGTAAATAATTGGTAAGGTTATCGGGTCACGTGCCGACACAATCCCAAATGTCATGTCACGTGGCAAGCGCAGAGCTAAAGAGAAGTGCCACGCGACGAGCACATGAGTGAACGCTCTCCCAACTCTGATTTTAATTATATATAATAAGTACAACCCTACTATGATAACTTGTTTGGTAACACTTAACACCAATTTCAAAGGAGATAAGACCAAAACTATTTTTTTTGTGGAATGTTTGTGTCTACTTTTTATTCTTTATTATCATTTGAGTCACCCAAAAAAAAAAAAACCGGAGTGCGTAAAGGCTGAAGCCCATCACCGTAACAGTTGACCATCTAATTAATGGAATCCAAAGTTCGGAGAGATCAGTCAAGGCAACTCAAAGAAACCTGGATTACTATGTTAAACTCCAGAAGCAAGTTACTAATCAACCAAGATATTAGTAAGTTATGAAGCAAGTTGTTCGGTTACCTTTCCCAAAGACATAGATGCGAAGTTTGACTTCATGAAAGCACGGTCATCTGGCAGAAGAAGAACAACAGATATGACCCTTTCTTGCTTTTTTTCAAGTGGAAGATTGAGCTTAGGAGGTGAGCTAACTAAGTACCAATAAGGAGACGTTCTGCTCTTTTCCTACCCATAACCAAATGCCAGTCACCAACTTAATACACAATCCAAAATTCTATATGACTATCTCTTGCTATATAAACTCATATCCCCCTTCCTCCATTTACCCAGACACAATTAGCAATCCATTCCTCTCAGCTCATTGATTTCAAGTCCTTCAGCCTATCACAACAAAAGATCTAGACTTCATTTACCAACATGACTTCTTCCTCAAAGAACTTTGCTCTCGTCATCACCCTAGTTTTCTCAACCATCAATATGAGCTTCGGAGCTCGTCAACTGCTTCAAACAACTATGCCATCAATACCGTCTCTTCCCACCATACCAGCTTTACCAACGCCGTTGCCTCCGCTACCGGCCATGCCCACATTGCCAAAGGTCGCCATGCCGCCATTGCCTGTCATCCCCACGACCCTACCTCAGCCCACACTGCCGACGCTGCCCACCACACAACCAACACTCCCCACGACTACTCTGCCGCCGCTTCCAAGCTTGCCAACCATGCCGACCACCTTGCCGCCCATGCCAAGCATCCCTACTTCTCTCCCTAAGATTCCCTCTATTCCTTTCCTCACTCCACCTCCAGCCACCAGCCCTTGAAGATTATAGCATCGTGTGAGGTCACTTCGGAGTATTTTTAAATTGTTGGCGTCCCCCGTTATGTCTGTAAGATTGTTCGCATATACGTGTGTTGTGTCCTGATATGTATTTTGGGATTCTATTTATCATTCATATTGATTCCTAGAATGATATGTATTGATCAGTGATTTTGGCTCACATTCTTTTTATGTCCTTTCCACCGCTTCCAAAGCTTGTCAGCAGTTATAACGTACACCGTCAGTATAAAAAAAAAATGTTTTCCACGTACAGCTTTATGCACCTTTTCATTGTTAATAAAGAGAATTGACCTTTTGCCCTGACATAATATCGTGGCTAGAAGCCTAATATTTCGTGAAACAAGTCGTGGCGAAAGGCCCATGGCAACATAATTTCCTCGCCTAGTGGCCGTTCGGGTGAGGGCCGCAACCCTCGCCTACAACCAGCAATGGCATCGCGGCCCTCAGCTGTGGGTGGCGAGGGTCGCTAGCCCTCGCCGAACTTGGTAGAAAAAAAGGATAAGAAAGAAATAAAAAAGAAGAAAATAAAAAAAATTAGAAAATTCTTAAAAATTTAAATGTTAGTGCCGGCCACGAAGGACGACTAGTGGCTAGGAGGATTATATTGATAAATCATCAAAAGGTTTATAACTTAACTGGCAAAATTGAAAGGTTTAGTACTCAATTGGAATTCATACAATAAATTTGGCACATTTTGGTAATTTTCCCACAATTAAAGTTAAAAAAGAATTAGAACCTATTAAAATGCTGCAATAAGAGAATCGATCAAGGATATTGCACTTAAATAATTCTGCCTTGTTTCCTCATCAACCCACTCCCCATTACTTTTCTCCCAATTTAGCTCCTTCGGCTACTATTTTTCTAATTGAATTTTCATCATTTACTATTCTCTCCATATTGTGCATGGTTTCCAAATAAAAAAAGCACCAAAAAACAAAATATGTTCAAATATCATTACAGAAGCTATGCGCAAATTAAAAATAAATGCAATAAGAACATTGTAAGCACATGTTAGAGCTATGCGACAAAGAAAAGGCTACAAATCTATGTGAAAATGTATCGAAGGAGGAGGATGAAGATGATGAATGCGGTATGTACTATCCATTTATAACATAGAAAATATAAGGGTGAGCAATCGAACCAGTTCAACTCAAGAACCGACACAAACCGACCTAGTCCAACCAGCTCATAAGGTGACCGGTTTGATTCTCAATTCAAATACTATTATATACCCTAAACTTGTTAGTTTTACCTGAGAACTTGGAACCTGGAACCGGGAATCATACCTTTAAGAGCTAGTAAACTCATAACCCCAAATAAGTCTTGTACTCCTTTTTAATAACAGAAAATATATGTTGAAATTGAATATGTTGCATATATTATCCTCAACAGAAGACCCGCATTCGTGATTAACACATGTATATTGCATATATAAGAAAATGAAACAGAAAAAAAAAAACTAGCCAATTGTTGATTTGACCTTGATTTAGTTCTAGGGTCAACAAGGTTAGTTCCCGATTCCAAAAACTGGGAACCGACCATAATACGTTTTAAATCTAAAACCTACCCACCATAGAACCGATTACCATTAACAAACACACATCTTTGTTATATTTTTAGTTTAATTCAATTATTTTAAATAGGATTAAATTAATTTCTTAAACTGAGTTTACTCTAGATTTTTTTTTAGCAATGGAAAATATTTATATATATATTATCTTTGTCTGTTATTAGCATTTGACAATAACATGTAAGGGTGCAGGATGACATGTCAATAATCAGCAAGGTTAATGAGCCACGTGGCAACACATTGCCAAGAGTCATGTCACGTGGCAAGGGCATACCTAAAGAGAAGTGCCCCATGACAAGTAAATGAGCGAACTTTCTCTCAACTCAGGCTTGACTACATATATTAAGTACGATCCCGGGGAGATAACTGGTTTGTTAGCTCTTAACACCAATCTCAAAGGAGGTAAAACCGGAACTATTTTTTGGTGGAATGTTTGTGTCTAGTTTTCAATCTTTTTATCGTTTGTGTAACAAAATGAAAACGAGTACCTGATGGCTAAAGGTCAGCCCTCGAACAGAAGACCATGTAACTGATGAAGTACAAAAGTTCGGAGAGATCAGTCAAGCCAACCCTAAGAAGCCTAGGTTGACATGTTAAAATCAAGAAACAAGTTAACAACCAACCTAGATAATGGGATGTTATGAAGCAAGTTGTTCACTTATCTTCCACAAAGACATAGATGCCAAGGTTGACTTCATGAAAGCATGGCCATCTGTCAGAACAAGAACAGCAGATTTGACCTTTTTTTTTTTTTGTTTTTGCCGGTGGAAGATTGAGCTGAGGAGCTGAGCTAACAAAGAATTTATAAAGATTTCTTTTTGTTCTAACCATACTCAAAGGCCAGTCACCAACTTATCATCACAACCCAAAATTCTATATGACTATCTCTTGCTATATAAACTCCCATCCCCTTCCTCCATTTACCCAGACACAATTAGCAATCCATTCCTCTCAGCTCATCAATTTCAAGTCCTTGAGCTTATCACGACAAAAGATCTAGACTTCATTTACCGATATGGCTTCTTCTTCAAAGAGCTTTGTTCTCTTCATCGCCCTAATTTTCTCAACCATCAATATGAGCTTCGGAGCTCGTCATCTGCTGCAAACAACTATGCCATCCATTCCATCTCTTCCCACCATACCAACTTTACCAACATCGTTGCCTCCGCTACCGGCCATGCCCACATTGCCAAAGGTCGCCATGCTGCCATTGCCTGCCATCCCCACGACCCTACCTCAGCCCACACTGCCGACGCTGCCCACCACGCGACCAACACTCCCCACGACTACTCTGCCACCGCTTCCAAGCTTGCCAACCATGCCAACCATGCCAACCACCTTGCCGCCCATGCCAAGCATCCCTACTTCTCTCCCTAAGATTCCCTCTATTCCTTTCCTCACTCCACCTCCAGCCACCAGCCCTTGAAGATTATAGCATCGTGTGAGGTCACTTCGGAGTATTTTTAAATTGTTGGCGTCCCCCGTTATGTCTGTAAGATTGTTCGCATATATGTGTGTTGTGTCCTGAGATGTATTTTGGGACTCTATTTATCATTCACATTGTTTCCTAGTGAGCTCTTTTGCTGCGAATAAATGTTTATTCCAGTGTGTTGTGTCAACCTCCTATGATATCTATTGATCAGTTCCCGTTCTTTTTACGTTCTTTCCGCCGCTTCCAAAGCTTGTCAGCAGTTATAATGTACACCGTCCGTAGAAAAAAGTACTTTCCTCGTACAGCTTTATCCACCTTCTTTTCATTGTTAATAGAGAGTAGACCCAACAAGAAAATTGACCTTTCGCCCCGACGCTATTTCATGGCTAGAAGCCTGATATTTCATGAAAGTAAGTATACTTTTCAGCACAAATATATTTCATGGCAAAAGGCGTAAAAAGAAAATCATCGATATTGACGACTTTCATTTGTGGCTGAAGGGCCAACCTTTTGCGACGAAAATTTCATGGATTGTTGTAGTTTTGGAGGCACGAAAAATTGTGGCTAATGACATTAGGCCAGGAAATTATTTGTGACCGAAGCGTCAAATTTGGAAGCGATTATATCATCTTTGTCCACGAAATATTTTATGGCGAAAAACGTTGTGAGAAAAATCCGTAATTTTAGCCTAGAAATTTTTATACCTGAAATTTCGAGGCGACAAAATATTTCGTGACTAAAAGCGTAGCGACCCAATCCGATGAAGGCGGGGAGTGGTCGTCAAAGCCACAGAGCTCGAACAAGGACCGGCTCATGACAGGCTTCTAAGATAGTGAAAAGGGCAGGAATGAACCGAATTGCACATCAAACATGGGTAGAGCATGTTTGAAATATATATGTGTGACAACGGAAATTAAATCAAGGAGGCGCCTTTTGACGAAACACGATGCTTAGCTTTGGAACCTATGAGAGCACTATCAGGATGGGTGATCTCCTAGAAAAGTGCCCACACATACGCCAAAAGACAAAATCGTGAGGCAAGCCAAAGCGAACACTACCTCAATGAATTAATCCAGGTATGTCACAACAGGGTATCAGAGTGGGACCTTCTCCAGTATTTGTGTGGTTCGGGGACGAACCATTTAGAAGCTAGTGGGATTGTAATAACCTGGTCTAACGAGGGTGGGAGTGGTCGCCGGGTCCAGAGGATTCGGACAAGAAGCTACTTTTATGATAGCGAAGAGAGCTGGAATGAATCGAATTACACACCAAAAAGGGGGTGAGCATACTTGAGATATATACGTGAAAACTTGAAGTAACTCACAGAGGCACTTTTTGACGTAACAAAAATGCTTACCTTCAATACTTCAAAGTTAAGCATGCTTAGGTGGAAGTACTACTCGAATGGGTACCCTCCTAAGAAAGTGCTCACTTGTATGCCAAAGAACAAAATCACGAGGCTTGGTATTAGATTGGCCAAAATGGACAATACCTCAAGTGAATTAATCTAGGGATTTCACAAAAAGTTCGTATGTTTATCATTGCAAAACGAATAGTTGCATCGGTAGCACTTAAAACTCGTAATACCTCGCCTCGGTCCCTCCTGTCAAAAAATCGCCTTTGTCCGCATCTCTGATGTCTTCTCCTGGTAATACGATTAAAGTTAGAAAAAAAATTAGAACTATTAAATGCTGCATAAGAGAATTGATCAAGGATATTGCATTTACGTAATTCTGCCTTGCTCCCACATCAACCCACTCCCCATTACTTTTCTCCTAAATCTAGCTACTTCGTCTACTATTTTTCTAATTGAAGTTTCATCATTTATTATTTTCTCCATACTATGCATGATTTCCAAATAAAAAAACGAAACAACAAAATATGTTCAAATATCATTAAAGAAGCTATGCGCAAATTAAAAAGAAATGCAAAAATAGCATACTAAGCACGTGTGTTAGAGCTATGCAGCAAAGAAAGGGCT